TCAGTACCTCAAAATATACTTGATCAAAGGTGCATAACAGATGTTTGTTGCACTCACCTGGGGTGTTATTCTCTCTGCGTTCAAACCGTCTCCTAAGTTGTTTCATCGCCCTCCATTCCAAGGTGTACCAAGGAGCTGTACGTGTTCTGCAACAGAGAGGGCACTTAGGAGTGATCATGGCAAGTGCCCAGGTTGTTTCTGCATTCCATAGGGTGTCCAGGGCTTCGACAGGAGCACCAGCCACATCAACCAGAAAATCCCCCAAAGCCCCCTGGAAACCATCCAGATCCATTAGCCTCCTAGAGTGGACCATTCTGATAGGTTCCCCCCCACTCTTGTGGAGAAGAAAATCCACCATCAATCTAAATCTCAGCCTGTGGCGATCTGACCATGAAAAGGGGACTTATTTCAAATCCCCCATTTTCTGAGTACCAACCTCATATCTAACTGAGAAGACCAAGTCTGAGTTGGACCACTGACGGGGCGCAGTGCCATGGTTGTCGTGGTGGCCATGAAATCCTGAGTGAATGTTGAAGTCCCTCAGAAGCAACAGCCTTGAGAACTCCAACATCACATCTGAGACCTCTTCTGTCAGCTCAGGTAGGGAGATTGATGGGTTGTAGGGTTGGCTGTACACCAGCAGAATCCCCAATCTTTCCTGCTGGTGTAAACACGCAGGTTAGTCATTAGATGGAAAGGGCCCCTGGAGATACATTCATCTCTAGGATAACCTGCTTGTAAAGAAAAGAGAAGGGAGACTGGCTGCTAGCTACCAAAATTGGGCTACAGAATGAAACCTGTTCTTTGTGTACAAAAGCATTCCAAAAAGAATTGAACTGTCAAAATGTAGCAAAATAATCTTTGAAAACTCACAAATAATTTATCTTCCGGACTGTTGTTGTTGATGATGTTGTTGTTGTTACACTGCATTGAAATAGTGTTCTATGCAAAATTCATATCATATGGAATGCATTGTATCAGGATTAAAATTTCACAATAATTAGTGAAGAGGAAAAACCTTCTGGTCATTAAACAAACTCTGTTGCAAAGTTTTCAGTGGGGGATAATTGCATCAAATGATTTAGCTGTGAGCTTTTTGCATGGCCTTGAGCAAGTCATTTTCTTTTAGCCTCAGTCCTTCATATATTTAATTGGAATATTAACCTTTGCTCAAATTCTTTGCCAGGATGGGTTTGGTAATTACTGCAAAACAGTTTGCACAATAGAAGTCCAGTTGGCATGATAACATCATATTGTTCTAAAGAATAAAACAAGTATTTTGTTCATAGTACAAGTAATGAGTTTAAACTTCTTTTTCTCAATAGCACACTTCACACTGTTAAAAACTTTCTGTTTATTCTTGGAAATGATGAGAATGAATGAATGAACTGATGCAGTAATTAATTTTAAAATGCATCCTGTTCCTTCAAAAAGTGAATTGCACCCTGTTACAGCATTATCTTTTGCATTCAGAGTTTTTTCAGAAGATGTGATATAAAGAGGTCTAAGCATCAAGACATTTCTCAAGATTGGAGCTTACTGTACCACCTCCCACAATCCAGGCACCCCACTGCCATTGGTTAGGGTCAAATACCACAGGCTCTGCATTCAGAGTACCTCTGTGCCATTTGAGCAAGCAAACGCCAAAGGTAGGTTTTCTATTTCTTGCTTCCTTGAAAAGTTACCTATTTTACTTTTACAGGTATGTAAGTTTTACTGTTTTGAGAAGAATCATAATTATGAAGTTGTACTTTTTATTTGCTTTTTACTTGACTCTTTGTTAGGGTCTTCCTGTGAGAAATACATAATTTCCTTCAAAATATTTAACAGCTCTTGTGGATGCCAATATAATTAGAGCATGTTCCAATATTTTGCTTATAAAAAAAGAAACACAGAAATTTCACAGCTGCTTTAGGCAGCCAGGCAAATTTACAGGTGTATTAGTTGGTGTAGACATATAATTATATTGATAATTATAACTTATATATAGGAATTATACAGTTATCTTCCTTAAGAGCAAGTCTTTACCAGTCAGGTATGCTACCAAAATATCAGGTAATTCTCAAAGTTCCAATTATGAATAATTTTCAATATATCTGTGTATTAATACAGTAGTGCCTGAAAATTAGTGGTATTTCATCTTTTTCTCTTTTACCACATAGATATCCTTATCTTTTAGGGGAAAAATAAAGTATAGTTCAATGTTTTAGTTTGATGTACCTTGATCTAAAAAGAGGTTTCAGATATACCTGCAATCAGGTGTTCTAAACACAATTTTTCAATCTCAGCTTTCTATTTTACATTTAGAGCAGGGCTTTGTTTCAGAGGGTTTGTCTGAGAATGTCAAAAAAGATTTGTTCAAACACTTTACAAGTTAAAAGTTGTAGACAATATAAAGAGGACTGATAAAATTAGTACAGTATCAATGAATAAGAATCAATACAATATTTTGAAATTATTGTATAGGGGGAAAATGCTCAAGGTAGACTTTCCTTATTCATTTAAAAAATAGCAGTTTTTCTTGTCAAACCATTGAGAAAGTCAAGTAGGAAATGTCAGCATAATATATCAGTAAAGTCATGTTTAGGCAAAGCCAGAACACTGTAAATAAATCAGTGGTAGAAAGGCACAACAATTAACCCTTGGTTAAAGGGCAAAGAGATCCAGCTGCTTCTAAGTTCTGTCTACTAACTAGTTAAAAAATTAAAAGCTCATGAGAGAAAAATGTGTGCCTTGTGCTTTTCAATGTGCCCATTGGAATTTCATGCCTTCGTGTGTAAACCTGTTTCACAAAGGCCTTCTTTCAAGAGGTTTAAGATCCGTTTGAGTCTAGGTGCCTCAAAAGAAAAAGTGTCTCATGAATTTCTAATATCATGCACTGTGCACTGTTATTTAAGTACAGCTTATGAATGAATAAGAAGTCATGAGTTAAATATTCAGTTTTTAATATGGTAGATCTGTACACATTTAATCTTTCCCCATATTTCTGTAACTCTACTATTCAGCATATGCTGAATGTGACTACTGTGATTTTCTATAAGAGTATTTAAAATGTGAAATGGTCTACTTTAAAATCATGAGTAGAGACTGTTAACATTCAGACCACACAGCTCCAGTCCAACAAAAGTAATTTGGAATTAAGTTCCATTAACATCATCGAATAGTTCTGAGTTGCAACCAACAAACCACATTGATTTCAGCTTACGAGTCACTAAGCTTACTTGGACTGTGACCAGCATTTTTCATCAAATTCAATATCATGGTCTAAGTCTGCTGGAGATCCCAAGGAAAGAAGGTAAAAAAATAGACACAACTTAGTCTGTTACTGAATGTGAAGGTCCAGGTGCAAACGCTGTGTATGCCCAGAAGAACTTCCTTCATGGCCATTCACATTGCCGCCGCCACCTACATGAAGCCCATTGGAGCAGAATGCATGTAAGAGCCCAATCTGGAGTCAAGCTTTGTACAAACATTCCAGCTGAGTCTTGTACACTACAATGCTCAGGCAGCTGGAAACCCAGTGGTTGGCGCTGCAACTTCCACATGTTACTTTTGTCTGAATCATGATGTGATCTTGTCATGCTTCAGAAGCAAACTGCACCTGTATGTTTGTGCTACAGGTAGGGAGACCATTAGATGCCCTGGACTAGCAATCTTTACCAGGAGTGGCCACATCACTAAACAGGGCCCAAAGCTGACAGGTAAGTGGATTGTGCAACTATATAGTGGCCTTATTGCAACAATGTGCTGATCGCTGGATCTCAGTGGGCATTCTCACAGGCTTGTCCTACTTAATCTTCAGAGGTCCCAGACCATATCTTGGTTCTGTAGGCACTGCACTAAGAGCTGCTGTAGGAAGCCTTCCCTCCAGCATGGACTGTCTGTTACAAGCTACACCTGGCACAGAACTGGAGCACGGCTATGCACCTGCATTTCCCACTGGCCATACAGTTCTATGCGGGACCAAAATATATAAATAGAAGAACTATAATTTGGAAAGAGCTATGAGGCACAATTAAATGAAGAGAAAATTATTTGGAAGAGGTGACTTTCTAAAAATCATGGGTAGAGACTGTGTATATATGCATGTTTGTTTGTTTTAAAATGTTTGTTACTGAATGTTTTAATTATTGTTATTGTACTATTATATTGCTATTTTAACCTTTTGTAAGCTGTCCTGAGACATTTTTTGCAAAGGAGGGGGTAGAAATGTTTTAAATAAATAAATAAAAATAGCTAATATTCAATGCAGTATAAATCTATCATCATCATCATCGTTATTTATTATCACTTTATATTTAATCTATATGCCACATTTTTCCACTTGTGAGAAACCCAATGTGCCTTACATGGCACCCTCACAGCAACAACCCTGTGAGGTAGGCTGGGTTGAGAGTCTGTGCCTTGCACAAAGTGACCCAGTGAGCTTTATGGCCAAGTGGGAACTAGAACCTCCAGATTTCCAGACCTGGTTATCTAAAGGAGCGCTTGCATCCATATCTGCCCTCCCGCCCCTTGAGATCAGTGGCAGAGGCCCTTCTCCGGGAACCCTCCGTGAAGGCTATTAGGAGGGCAAGTACCCGGAGGAGGGCCTTCTCTGCAGTGGCGCCCCACCTATGGAACGCGCTCCCCAGAGAGGTCTGCCTGGCGCCGTCGTTATTTGTTTTTCGGCGCCAGGCCAAGATCTTTTTATTTAAATGTTATTTTAATTGTTGAATTTATTTATTGATTTTATATCTATGCCAGATGTCTCCAGGTTTTTTAATGAAATTGTATAGTTATTTATTTGTATTGGATGCCGCCTCGAGGCTTTTGCAAATGGGGCAGCATATAAGTGTTCCTAATAATAATAATAATCCCCAGGGTCCCCAGTCAGCACTGTAACCATCATCCCACATTAGCTTTCTCTGTCTTTCTAAATCTAGTATTTCATGGACTATCTGCAAGTGGAATTTTAATCCAAACTTTTCTGCTTTCTACCTCTAGAAAGAGGTTGAAGAATGAAGGCCTTGGCAAAAATTTTCTTGGGATTTTTTTTCTTTGATGCAATTGCAGCTGCTCCTACAATGAGTTCTGTAACGTATGACTCTGAAACATATGATGTTACCTTGGAAGATCTGGATAATCTATATGATTATGATGAAAATCTGTCTGTTGATCAGGCACAGGTAATTCAAAAGTGTGCATTTTGCCGTTCCATATTTTTCTGAGGTCTGGGGTGGGTCAGAAAGCTACAAGATACCTGCTAAGTTCTTGCCTTCTGTTGTCTTTAATGTAATCAACATACAGTTCAGATCACACTCAGCCATCTATGCTGGGTAAAAAAAGAGTAAAGCAAAAACCTTTAACTTCTCCTTTAACACTATATCAATTGGTACCAGCTTACCTACTGATACATTGTCACTGTAATGATAGAATGTGCTGCACCAGAATAGCCAATGGTCTATTCCACCTTGATGATGGTAGCATCATCTTCTGAGGAAAAGAACACATAATGTAGAGCATTCACAGAAAATTTCTGCCATGTATAAAATGTCAGGTCTATTTAAATTGTAAGAAGCATTCCAACACAGGGAAATTATCTCTCCACTTATAATGTATGGCAAAGATCCTAGAAATCTATCCTGAGCAGAAAATTACATAAAGAAGGATACTTTCTTTGAAATATGGGGAAAACAAATGTTTGGCTCTTTTAGGATGCCTGGTGTTAGTATAGTCATTTAGCTGGATTTTCTTCTCTGAGTTAGCCCACATTAAAGATGTGTATTGGTCCCAACTGTTAGATTAAATTCTGCAACTCATCCTCAGCATTCTTCTACTGTTAGGTTTCTGTTGCCTTTGATTCCACACTTTGCTGTTATTTTTCCCACACACTACCTTGAAAGTAAATATGTAGCTAATAATTCATAATTACTTAGATTATGTTTAGTGCATAAGGCTCAGCTATGTTATGAAATGAATGCCATCTTTCCAAGATTTTCTTCAGTTCCAAAAAAAGAAGATCTTACACCTATGTGATTAAGAAGTTGTCCACAATCCCTCAAAATGTCCTCTAATTTTACTGCATGTATTAAACAATGTTCTCCACTTAGACTGAATGTGCTCTGCAAAAGAACTCCAAAGCTTGGAGGCCCATAATTAGCCAGGTATGTGTATTTCCTTGGCAGAACACAGTTGAGAGAAGCTCCAAAGTCTCTGTTGTAAGGAAGCTGTGCAGTCCCTGACCAAGGGCTGGGAAGCCCTGTGATTCAAATGATCTGAAGCTTGGGTGAACGCCCTTTACACATTCCTGGTAACCTCCATCTCACCTCCACTGTCAACGAGGTTGGCAAGAGCTCCAGATTAGTCTCTTTCACGGCTTGGGAAAAAACCGTCTTTTCCATCAAAAGAAATCCATAATGTCTCCTGCACTTGTTTCAGGGAACCTCAGTTGTGTGAATAAGATCATTCATGCTCATGCCAGGAGCTTCACATACATTGACACACAGTCTTGTCTCCTCTTACACAAAGGAGGGGGGGAATTGTTTCTTATTTTTCAGCATCATCATTCCTTCAAAAATCTACCTGCAGCATACTGGTTTTTCATCTTCCCATATATATATATATATGGGAAGATAGATAGATAGATAGATAGATAGATAGATAGATAGATATTTATTTATTTATGGATGGGACTTCTATGCCACCCCATTCGCTGAAGCCTCGGGGCGGCTCACAACCATAAATAAATAGAATCCAATTTTATCCTCAGATAATCCTGAGAGAAAGGTTAAGCTGAAATATAGCAACACAGTCAAAGTGACCCAGTGAAGTTCATTCCTAAGCAGGAAATTAGGTCCAGGTCTCTTCCCAGTCTTAGTTTAAAACTGTAACTACTACCATACAAGTACAATTACAGTTACTTTTTTCTTTCTTTTTAGCATGGAAATTATTCTGTGCTTGTTCATACTGTTCTATCCTGTACATAACAGGATGCTCAACTGAAGGCTGATGAGACCCTCAGCCTAATTTAATTTACTTTAATTCAGCCCTCAGCTTTCCAAATGTCTTTGTTCTGGCAAAGCAGTCTGTCTGTTTTCTGGCAGGCTACCATGTGGGGAAAAGTTTAGAACTTGTACAGAACTGCAGCTTAGGGTCATGATTCAGCTTCTAATACCTTCATTTTTATGTTGCTTTTTCTTGTAGCTATGTGATCCTTCCACATATGAAGATGACAGAGAGAAAACAAAGCCTGGGTTTACTTTAATATTCTTGCTGCGATAGCTATGAATAATACTAGAGTGGAAAGTGCTGGAAGCTGTCTATTCTGCAGCAATTTGCAGATGAGGTGAAACGTTGGCTTAGATTTCTCCTTTGGTTTCCAAGTTGAAGGATCTTAAACTTTTTAAAAAGATTTCATCCTGAGGGAACGTATTGTTGAGGAGATATATAAAGAAAGAAAAGATGTCATTCAAGTAGATAATTTATGTAGCTGTTTCTAAGCAGAGACAACAGGAAAAAGGAAACGTTAAAAGAAAATAAACATGAGAACAAGGAAGAAATGGTTAGGTCCAGCAGGAGAAAGAGACTAGGAAGGAGTGCAATTGGAGGGGTAGCTTATGTTCTTTTTAATTTTTGAGCAGAGCTTCAAAATATTCTTCAAAGATTACAGAATGTGGTAATGTTTGTTTTCATACTTATTCGTCATTAGGACTGGTATATCAGACTTATCTCAGACACATGTAGCCACTTTAGTTTATAGCAGAAGACCTTGGTTTCCAAAAAAATCTTGGAGTGAGAGCATTTTAATGCCCCTTACTGAGAGCATGACACATGTCATGAGGGCTACCATAGGATTACAAGAGAAAATATAAGCTGAGCTTCATGCCCAAGAATGAATGGGTACAGTAACTCCCTTTACCTCCTTGAACTAGCCTTAGACTAGTGGAAGGGGAATCAGCAGTATTAGGCAGGCAGATATGTCTGAAAGTTAAGCAAGCTACATATAGGACAGAATAGAAAATACTCACTTTCAGCTCAGGCTTTAAATTTATAATATGGAAAAAATCAGATAATTTACCAGTAATAATTAGTAAGCTATTTCATCTCTAATTATTGAAATCTGCTCTAAATGCTAGCTTAGTAATAAGAATAATTATTGTAGTTCCCCATTGCATCAGTACTTGAGCCATTCTTGTTTCGTATGTGCATTAGCAGACTATTTGGAAAGGAAGACAGCATGATAGATCAGTCTTTAAGCAGGTTGTGTGGTTATAAGAGCTGAGCAAGGCTGTCAAGGATTGAATAATTTGCAGATTATTCATTTAAAGGGTTGCCATAAGTTGGAGATGACTTGACTCCACATGACAAGATTAACAAGAAAAACAGGGTTGTGTGAAACTGAATAACTTACTGTATTTGAGCTTGATGGATGTTTGACATATTTCTGACCTAAGAGTGGAGTGAGTCAGGCAGGACAGGCTTAGCTTCTATAAAACTGCTCAAAATATTTGTGCAAAGTTTTTTTCTGAGAACTGCATATCTCTAGTGCAACAAATCACAGTTTGCACAAATCAGGGCTGACTACCTAGATTTGATTAACTGTTATTCTTGTAGCATTTTAGCATGAGAATTATGGAAGCTTCCTCCTCTCAGTGCAGATGAATACATTACACCTTGGTCCCCTTGAAGTTACTGACAGTTAATGACAGCTATATTGCAAAATTCAGGTCTCTGTTTTGTGATTTGTGCAAATTAAATCAAATTGTGGAGTAGGAGCCCAAATTTTGCATGTGATTTTACCTGGCTTTTTTAAACATGCAAATTTTAAAACTTGAAGTGTACTTGATGCTTCAATTCTGATTGGACTGAGTCAGTTCCTGAACATAATCTATAGGTCTTAATTTAGAAAATCCATCGGATTTTCATACTCCTATTGGATTCCTCCCACACTCCTTCCTGTAGGCATTTTCAGAACAAAGTGATGTGAGACTTCCTTGTTTGCACTTTTAAACAATGCACAGATGGAGAAGCACAGTAGTCCAGTGGTCTCAAGTCTTTCTACTTTCATAATGATGCAAGTTACACTTATGGGTATGTCATCTTAATTCACACACTGGCTAAGATGTACTTTTGAAAAATTGTCTTTCTAAGACCGGAGCCTTCCATTGGTCAAAAATCTTCCTGGCAAGAGCCAAGCTGAGAAGAGAAATTGCAGAAATCTTATCTCTTGTTCATCCTCTTAAAAAAAACAAAAACAAAAAGTACCAGCATTGTCCAGCTTCAGCTGTGTTGGCCTTTGAGCCCATATTCCTGGCTTGCAGGCAGTGGGTATGGAAAACAATGGAAGGCAACATGTGGATCCACACCTCGCCTTTCCTTTCTGCCTACCATCCTGCCCAAGAACTTCTGAAGTTGCTTTTTCAGCCTAGGAAGAGCAGAAGTCTTCCATAGGAGTCACAAGCAGGTGGGGAAGAGAAAGCAGCCTGATTTTTCTTCCCAAGCTCTTAACAATGTCTGCAGGCTCAAAAGTAAGAATCCTTCATATCCCTTGAACATTCTTGCAGGGAGTATAGGAATACCTGTCCATTGTACCTCATTGTTACTTTCACTGTATGTCACTGCTATCTCTCCACTTTGTGCATCTGATCAAGTGTGTCTTGCCTGCAAAACAGTGTCCATAACATAGTTTTGAAAGAGGCATTCTTCATATTTACTCCAGAGTGTCAGTCAAGCTTAGGCCCAACCAGTATTTTTCATTACTTTCATACAAACAAGGTCATAAAAGGAGGTTTCCTAGGAAAAATTGCTAATCAGTGAAAGTAAGGGAACGACTAGCTCTTTCACATATAATCTTTGCATTTAAATTAGACCTCTTAGATGTTAAATGTTAAACTATTAAAAAGAATGAAGGTTCTGGCGTAATCACTCTGATTAAAGAGCATATTTGAACACAATAATTACTTCTGCAAAACTAAATAATGATAATGGAAGGCCTAAAAATATAAAGCTGAAGTAAATGTGAGTAAAAATTTAAAAAACCATAGTAAGGTTTGAGTACGTATCATACAGTAACAAACATTACTAAATTTCCTTACTGGAATAACATATAGTGATATAGTGCTTCTACATATGTTGCACAGAAGGTGGGAAACAACAATTGGATGCAACTTCCCACAACATACACACT